AGCTTGGCGTCCCTCTTCAGTTCACGCCCACTTCACTGTCCTCCCTGCCCTGCTATTGAATTGCACAGGAGTCCTTAGCATCTGGTCTCACAGGTCACTTTCTAAGCCTGGCCCCTGGCACTGGTTTGAGGGAAGGGGGGGAGGGTGTGGTGCCCGGTTCTGTGCCAGCAGAGGTCAGGCTCTGGCCTCACCAGCAGCTCTCCAACCGGCCCCTCCCCAGGACTCTCAGCTGCTGGTCCTGGGCCAGGGAGGGTCCTGAGACATCTGCTCTCTCCGACGTGGGGACCAGTAAAACCCCTGTGCCCCTCCAGCTTTCCTTTGATTCTGAGCCCTGATGCCTCCTGCTAGTCAGGTGGGATTGCAGGGTTTAAGCTGGGGCTCATGCATACACTCATGATTCCTGAAGTCCCCATCATGGACAGGCCCTGTGTAGGGTCCCGAAGTGACAGGGTGAACAAGACACTCCCTGTCCCAGGAAGAGGTATCGTCCTGGCTACACTGAGGAGGGGTACCCGGGAAGGGAGCCTCCAGTCTAAGGGTGGAGGCCTAGCCTCTGCTCCCAGTCCCTTCTAGGAGATTTCACAGTCCAGTGGGGAGGGCACCATCCACACCCACCTGAGTTGCCAGTCGGCAGGGGAAGCAGTGCCTTGCGCTGGGGGCCCAGTTTGATGAGGATTCACAGAGGAAGAGGGTCAGCCCATGAGCTCCCAGGCTTAAGTAGAGGAGTAACCCGGGAAGCTTTGGGGTGAGGGACTAACGAGGATGGGCAAGTGGGGAGCCAGGTGGGGATGAGTTGGGAGAGGACTCCTTGGGGCTGGAGTCTGGACGGAGCGATCAGTGGGCCGGAGAGGCCGGGATCCGGGTCCTGGCGCCTGTGAGGACTGGATGTCAGGGCAGGGATGTGGGGGGTGTGGAAGGTGCTGCAGGTGGGGGAGCTCCCCTGTGGGGATTCAGGAAAGAGGCCCAGGTGGTGTCTGGGATTCTGGGAGTTGCTGTGTATGTGGCCAGCAGTCAAAGCCAAGGGCACTGCTGAGGGCCGGAAACAATTGTGAAGTGAGGGCCCAGGGAACCTGGTCTCTGGGGCCTTGATGGGGAGACAGCAAAGCCAGGGAGGGGGGTGGGGTGAGTAAGAGGGTGCAAGTCCAGCAAGGCCACCCCCAGCCAACTGCCTGCTCTCAGAGGAAAGATCCAGAAGCCCAGAGACCAGATTCTTTCCCCAGAGCCCGCAGAGGAGCGCTGAGGGGCTCAGATATTGGGGTGGTCCAGACCCACCGTCCCTGAGCACCTGTCACCGGAGGGCCCATTGGATAGACTGGTGGTGCTTAGCTTGGGAAGGCAAGACAGCTGTTCTTGAGTTGTCAGAGGGCTGATGCTGGGAGGGAGGGGGCAGGTGGGCCTGCAAGGCTCACTGTGCCCAGGGGGCGTCCTGTCACACCAGCCTTGAACCCTAGCCGGAGGTGGGGAAGGGGGCGAGGGCATTGCTATCCCCCTTCTTCACATGACAAGACTGAGGGTGAGAGACTTTCCTGGCAAATGACACACAGAGTAATCGGAGAAGCACAAGTTCTAATCCAGGCGCATCTTGCTCCAAAGGGCTTGCTCTTAACCCCTCAACTTCATCGTCCCTGCTCTAGAGGGCAGAGTGGACCCCCAGGAGCGTACAGTTATAGGACTGCGGGTACCAGCTTCCTTCAAGGGAAACCTACACGCTGTCCAGCAGGGGGCGCCTCAGGGCCTTCCGGACACTGGAGTGTCCAAGCCAGAGATAGCAGACAGGTTAGTCAGCCATATAGCTCAATGGCCTGTGAACACTGGCTAAGGAGAGAGGCCTGCATGTACCCTTTCTAATTAATCAATATTTATTGAGCACCTACTACCTGTCAGGCAGAGATAAAACAGACAAGGACGCTGCCCTCCTGGAATACACAGTCTAGATGGAGACACTAAACACAAGAGGTTAAATGAATGAAAAAGAAAATCGCTAACCTGGTGTAGCACTTAATATCCACGACAGGCACTGTTCTAAGAGCTTTATGCACATTAATTCATAATAGCCTTGTGAAGTGGGAGCTGTTATTACTTCCAGTTTTGACGGATGAGAAAACTGAGGCACAGCTAAGAAGCGGAACTGGAATTCTATTCAGCCACGTAGGCTCTTGACCTCCATAGTGTAGGGAACAAAGTAGAGCGTGAGGACGGGGGTGCTATTTTGGTCAGGGTGATCAGGGAGGACCTCTCTGAGGAAGTGACGTTTGAGTGATAAGGAGAAACCAGCCATGCAGATACCTGGGGGGAGAGCATTGCAGGAGCAGTGAGTGCAAAGGCCCTGAGGTGGGAATGGACTGACTTACAGACCAGAAAGGCAGCCAACGTGGCTGGAGCTCAGTGAGCAAATGGGGGGAATGGTTTGACATGAGGTTGGACATGTAGGCAGGCAATTCTGAGAGTTTCCTGAGCACCTACTGTGTGCTCTGACATATAAGGTATAAATAAATGCTATAGGAAGCAGATATGATATCAGTGTCCTCTAAGGAAAAACCTTCCTCTGTCTAACAGGAAGGAGGTGGGACAGGGAATTAGAGACCAGCAGCTGACAGTCTAGTTGATGAAACCAAATTCCCCAAGAGTAGCAGGATGAACGACGATGAAGACGATGATGATGGTGACAATGACAGGAATTTGCTGAGGCCCTACGGGTGCCAATTCCTGTGCGAAGCACAGCGGCCCATTTAGTCTGCTCCACAGCCCTCTCTGGCAGACACAGATATCCCTATTTTCTAGGGGAAAGAGCGAAGACACAGAGAGGGCCTCCCCGAGGCCCCTGACCTCACCCATCTCCATCCCAGGCCACCGGCACCCTCCCCTGCATCCCTTCCCTCGGGGGATGTCCCCGTGGCCTGTCTCAGCCTCACGGGCTCCATTCTGGAGAGGTTGGGCAAGTCATCCAGGGCCACCCGATGAGTAAGTAGTTGAGGCTGGGTCTCCAGCTCCAGTCCTAGCCACTTCACCACGGTACGTGATCAAAGAGGGGCACATGCCAGGGGACCGAGCAGGGGCAGCAGTTAGGGCCTCCAAGATGAGGAGGAGTGAAAAGAGCTGGAGGTGGCAAGGACTGTGGGCGTTAGGGCTTCTGTGCATATCCTTGCGCCGGGAGGAGGGGGAGGTGCTTAGCGTTCCGGGGCCACCTAGTGTTAAGGCAGTGGTTCTCACCCTTCTGGCCCTTTAAATACAGTTCCCCATGTTGTGACC